TACAGGAGCATCCTTACTCGAAATTGTGCTGTCTACTTCCTTGCTTACGAGTTTTCTGAGATGATGTGGGCGCATTCTAAGTGGAAAAAGTAAAAAAATATGATGTGGAAATTACTTAAGATGGAACTTAATTTACACTCTCATTGAAGTTCAAAGCTATGAGTCTATGAACGCACAGCATTTGAAGCATGAACTAATATGATGTGTTCATACTCAGCTTAGGCAAAACACAGATCGCCTAAGCTTATGTTTTTCGCAACTACTTTTTTCGGCGAGAAAGCACCGTCATAATGCTCAGAATGCAAGACTGAACTTTTTCTAAAGCATTCCGCCATTATAGTTTGACTCCCCCTGACATGGCATTAAGCTCCCTCCTATATAAACGTACATTGCCAGTGTATCATCTGTCCAGCTCCGATACCGTGTTTAGACAAAGCTCATGGCCACCTGATATAGCATATTATTTGGTCACAAGACATCTCTACAAGCCCATTTCCATTTCTTGATTATCTTACAAATTTTGATCCTGTGACTCAAACAGTGAAAGCTCTCATTTCGGCAGCAAAATGTTAAATGATTCCTTTTATGTGTATCTGCTAAAGCTCGATTGTCGTTATGAAAGGTCATATTTTTATGATTTGTTGGAATCAGGAGTGTGAGAACTACACTCAGTGGGCATTTGTTCGCAGTTTTAAGCTGCCAATCCTGTCATTTGTGTTTCTACATATTTTTGTTTTGATTACTGTTGAAGTAAAGTGCTTCTTTTGGCTTGTTAGGCTGTACATCAGTCTGGATATTTTTTTATTCGGCTAATGTTTCGGCAATATGTACCCTCATCTCCAGATGGAACTATTCAATGAGTAAGTAAAACACTTTACCAAAAACTTAAAACTAAGAAAGTTACCTGATACCTTAGTAAATCAAGCACTCGAATGTTAAATACCAAGAACTCATGATTTTGGAGATAGAGTGATGATGTCGCGTTCAAAAGACTGTTGTATTACTTCGCTAGTGTGGTCCAGCAAACCAGTAGACCTGCTATGAACCAGCGTTCGGCACACATCGGTCATAGTCATGTCCAAGATAACTCCATGCTCGCGCGAAAACCACTCTTGCACCGCTCATAAAGTGTACCAAAGACAGATGGACCGTTGTTTCCGCTTCCTGAAGTAGCAATCTTGTCGCACCAAGATGACACAGAAAAATTTAGTGTTAATTGGTTGCCGGTCCTCAATGTCGAAATGCAGCAGTCCGAGAACGATTTCGGAACACCATGATATTGCAATTCAACGACAAGAACATTTTGACACAGTGCTCTCTGCCTTAGGCAAATCAGAAAATTGGTCGTTGGGTTTCTGTACAGAACAACGGCCAAGGTTTTTTCTGATGCAGAACAAAAAGCTAACTCTATGGCATCGGCCGACCGCATAATAAGGTCCTCTAGGACCACATCCGCGATATCCCAAATTCGGGACAGCTCGGTCACAAAAATGGTTGAAAAAATCCTTGCTTACCATATACCTTAGAGAAGATGAGCGAAACAGTCAGGTTAGTGCAGCGCAGGATTGGATAAAGATGCCAGAGGTATGGAGCATTTACGTTGATGAAAAGAATCCTTTCTTGCTATTCGGAGGTGAGCGGACGGGGTGACCTCTGTGTATCTACTGCAAAGAGCCCAGTGGGCTGAGGTATTGCGATCTGAGCTCATCGCGAACAGCTCCATGACAACTTAGATTACGAGTGGAGGTCACGATTTTAGAGCATGAATACGAAATCCTGGTGTGCGAGTGGAGGCTTTTGATTTGCCGTAAAAAATCTAAATTAGGATTGAAAGCTTGAGTGCGTTTTCATTCATGAATTGGGGCCGTATCAGAACTTTTATGGTTCCTGAGGTCAAGATAATACCAGGCACTAACAATAAGCATATAGCGGAATTGGAGCTCATCCACTGTTACAGTGGATGAGTTCTAATTCCGCTATATGCTATATAAGCATAAAGCATAAATAGCACCCTATTTTGCCAACATCGGTTAGGTAAGTATTAACCTTGCATACATTTTCGAGTTCTTACAATGGCAAGAAAACGAAGTAGTTAATTTATACAAGCTGCGTACCATTCGATGCAGCGCCTTTTTGGACGAAGTTATGAGCACTTTCATTTGAAATAATCATACATAACATTGCGAAGTTCAGCACATTTTTGCATTTTCAGCTCATAGGCTCATTATCGAGTAACCTAGCTGCATGTTTCGGCCTAGCATTGAGCCGAACATGGCTTTTTGTTGCCATGTTTGGGCTGTACCGTACTTGCGTGCACGATTTCTTAGCGCAGTGATGACTTTGAAAAAGGCTCATAATTTTATCCATAGGCTCTGGGCAGATGTGGAAGATCGAAATCAGCGTTTTATGGATTCTAATGGCATGCAGCTTGCTTGGATTGGCCACTTCTATGACCATTTCCTTGTTAGTTTGCTAGCGCTTCGGAGCGCCTCAATTTTGAGAGATTTTTGAAGATATTTACCTATGTATTTAGTTGCTCTAAGAGGAAAAAATGTAAAAAATAAAATGTAACAGCAATATAACGAAGCGTTAGTATGATAGTATAACCGAATTTAGTCAAATGGATATTACCATTCTTGGTATACAGTTTAACATCTACGACAATCAACACCAATATGCCGAGATCAAGCTTCAATGGAAATTAGACTATACTTTTTCGTTAAATTTTCCATATGTAGTGCCAGTTCTACATGCACAAAGGTCCGCCCAGTCGAAGTGAACATTCGAGATGAGATAGATGGGTTTCGTAAAACCTTATTGGGGGTGCTTTGGTTCAAACATGTGTAGGCGAGCGGTTGTCGTGAAGCGCTATAAGGCGTTCCATTCGCTCATGATTTCCCGGCAAAATTCATGTTATTTCCAGCATCACATGCATGAATCAAAAGTGACTTTGAAAGTCTGTAAAAATAGAGGCCCATAGTAAACAACTGTTCAGCGCAAGCGCCGGGGGGCGATCCTACGTTAAACGTAGAGCGCCTCAGTCCGGCATCTTGAGCTAATGATCTGGATGCGGATTGCTTTCTTTACCTGACATCTTGTGCGTTTTCAAAACTAAACCTCCTGAGCAGGAGTGGTCGGCTAAGTGAATGAGTTTCAACGCGAAAGGCATGGTTCGGAGCCGGCTGGTGACAGATTTTTGCGCCACTGCCGGACAGTCTTTGGAGCGGCAGCTATCGGGAAAATCGATGGCAGCCGCTATCAAGGATATCGCCAAGCAAAGGAACGGATGAAACAAAACGATTAGATTTTGACGAGGATATCATGAAAAAAATGTTGGAACATAAACCAAATGAAACAAGAAATCTTTGTTTCAAGCAGTTTTTGAAAAAAAAACGTGAGCAATTTTTGAAAAAAAGAAGAAATCGTGTTTTCATGGTTTTCTCGCAACAATCAGCTTGTTTATTGATCCTCTCCCATTTAGGCAGCCGAAAATGTGCAAATTTGGTAGTTTTGCACTGCCGCAGTACTTCAACTAACTTATCCCGTAAATTACTCATGAGCAATTTACAGGAAATTTGTCTGATTCCCCTTATGTACGCTATCTCCCTCAGGTCACTTTAAACTTTACCCTCGGCTAAGAGGCATTCGTTAGAATGACTGCGACATTTGACCGTACAGTCTTTTGCTGTTCAACTCACTATCCTGAAGCACGCGAAGATGGGCGGGATTAGGTTCACACTGCGAAGTTCTTCTGAATGATTCATTTCACGTAAACTCAGATGAATGGGGATTTACTGCGGGCCAGAGTCTGAAAAGATGCGATCGTTTTCGGTTGCGTAGGGCTTATCGCGCTACGGAATCCTGGTCTCAGTTGCTCCGCGCGTTATGTTCAATAGGCGCCTAACTGGATCTATGGCCTATATGTCGCTGCAGCTAATGATGAATGCTTTTTTAAAATTGCAACTCTTATCTGCTTAACGCCCTTTTGGAATCACAGATTTAACCATCTTAATCCATCAATTAGCATAGGAGCACTTGCATGCTATCATAGCAGAAGTGTAGCGCTATTACGGTCGTTATTATGTAAAGCATGTTCAAATAAAAGCAGCGTTTTTGCATCTTTGTCTTTGACATCATAGGCTTCCTGAAATGCGTCCTGCAGATGAAATTTTAAGGTCAGCAACATTGCTTTCAGCAGCATCTATAACATTCCGAATGGCGACTTTCCAAAAAGGCATTCCACATTAGTGCATCATAAGCAATCACGTAACCAAAATATGATAGCGCTTGGATTGTTCGTCGGATTAAAGGTGGCGAGAGAACATGCAGGCGCTGTAAATTTGACGCATGGTTTGTCCATTGACTTTCTCAAGAACAAGAATGTTTTGACTCCTAAAATCATTGCACATATGACTATATTTGATTTTATTTAAATTCGAATCCAGACGAACGCCAGGACAGTGGCAGATAGATTCGGACTTAAATCGAAAAAAGATTTTTTTATACATGTTGAATTTTACATTTTCTGTTATTGGTCACACCAGGCTTCTTCAATTTCTTCTTATTGGGAAACGTACGGCAACATCAGTAAGCAGATTTGATTCTGGAAAATTATACTTAAATATTTAGGGTAACATGAACAGCTTATACCTTTCTTTACTGCTCCAGCAACATTTTTCAGCTCATGATAGGGGTGATGATAAGCCTGGAGTACAAATCAGTATTTCTGCGTTGAAATCGAAGTGAATGATGATCAAAGACTATAATAAACTCACGACGTGCGGATGGTAAGCAGGAATAGCGTGCATGATAGGTGCTACGGGGTGAACATAGGGGACCGCTAACATGTATGGAGAGAAAGCTACAATTTCTTGAATGTCATATAGAAAAACACACTTCGAATTTTTAGAAACTAACCAGAATAAGTGTAGGGTAGGCTTGCAACGTGTCTTGAAAACAAGTTTCATAATTTAGGTAATCGTCTATATGTTTGAACTCACCTTTCACCAAAGACAATAGCGAAGATGATTACAATGAAACTGTACTTCATCATGCAATGATGACGATTTTAATGGTAATTGATGCATTTATATACCCCCGTACGCTGCACACTCTTGTGTTAAAGTACGATAAGAAGCTGAGTTTCTCCAGCACAAGGGTTAGTTTCTGCCTCTTGAACGATGCTTCACTGGCCTTATTGACTGACAAAGTCGAAGTAGTCATTGAGATCAACATCAAGCTTAGAGTGCATAACCGAAGAATCTTAGAAGAATATTCACTGAAGTTTCCCAAGAGTTTAGCATAGAGCGTTCTTTTTACCAGAAAAAGCAACTCTGCATCATGCTATTCTCTGCTATTTTTATCTTTCTAGAGCTTTTCCCACTTATAAATCCTCCTCCGCCCATGATCTCTCCCATGACAGAAGTAAAATGTTTGCAACCTTTACTGGCTACAATCTTTTGTTATGATGATTGCACGTTTAATCTTTAGAACTTCGTGCCATTACTTAAACTGATATCTCACTTTCCCTGCGTTCGCAATTGCAACATCGCTCACAACCGTTTTTGCCACGTTATCGTAGAAGCTTTTAAAAACAACTATAATCATTTCTGTGTTTGTGCTCTTCGTCTATTTCTGAATTCGACTAAGCATTTGCTCGAGTTTACGTAATCCTCACCAACACCTGTACATTTTCCCCCCACCAACTCCTGTACATTTTTCCCCGTATGCCCAAGTGATATCTGATCCTTCACGTGCCAAGTAAAATAACCTCATGCTCCGTATTTTGTACATAGAAAATATCAAAGCTTTTCCATAACTTGGATAAAAATTTAGAAAAACTCCAATTTCACTCAGTAAAGTTTTTGTACTCAGACAATCAAAGGCACTCAGCCGGCATTCACAAAGCCATGTCAAACCACACCAAAAGCTCCTGCCTGATCGCCACCACTTTCGCTTCGCGCTGAAGACTTCATAGCAGCCCGCGCGCTGACGGTTCTAGCGTCCCGCTCTGTCCATAAGTGTAGCCCGCTTGCCTATGGTTCTCACCGCAGCGACAATGAGGCGATAGGGCACGGAGCTTTTGGCGGGGTTTGGCGGTGGCTTTGTGGCTGCCTGCTGGAAACCTCCATTGTCTGAGTAGCTTCTCGTTACGCTTACATTACAACGCTATAAGTATCGAATTCATTCATTATAATGGTAACAAATAACAATGGAATAAAACGTTACTACACTTTGAGATGTAGATATAGAGCGGATGAAAAAAAATTCTATGCCAACCTTGGTCATAAATGTCAAATATGCAGTAAGATAGGTATGCCAATGACAACGTGTGAACATACATAAATTATTCAGTAAGATTGATAAGGACCGTAAGGCCCCGGGCAGACTTCACGCGATTTGGTCGTCGCGACTGAATCGCGAGGAGACAACTGTTACAACATCATTCCATGTCGATCAACTTGCATTTCGGTGGTGATACTTTTCCAGCCCGAAATTTTTGAATGTTAAATGAAAATGAATGGAAATGTCGGCGATTTAGTCGCGACGATCAAATCCCGTGAAGTCTGACTGGGGTCTAAGACTTCGGGGCGGTTTGTATCAATTTTCCGTTCGGGTCGGTGTTCGCGAACAGATCTGACGTCTCTTTTATGGAAAAATGTTTGGATGCCAACCGAACCTAGGTAATGCTGAAGCTATTAGGAGTGCAACTATCATGGAAAGAAGTAAAACAAGACAAGAGAAAAATGGCACCATAATGTGAAAATGATTATCTTCTGTGACCAAAGTATATTCACAAGCTATGTCACGATTTTCACATTACATAGAAGCTCAATGAGAAGGAAGCAGAACAGTTGGTGCATAAATGTGGGGATGATAATCTGCTCATAGGCCACATAGATCGTGAATAAATGTTATGGAATACGCATGAGCTACTTTACACCAGTGACAACAACTCATACCTTATTTTTCAATATAACACCTGACTGTATTTTGACTCCTTTAATTATATGATGTGGTTTTCAACGATGTGCTATGAGGTGGACAAAAAAATCATACAATTTTTTTCGCAAATTATAAATGAACCTCTACTCTCACCTATCATTTGCTCAAGATTTTTTACACTAAGCGAGAGACAGTTAAGTCTCAACAACTCCGAATCTCTCTGGTGCAAGTACTAACACATAAAAGCTAGCGTATTCTGTCAAAGACTCATCGCACAGCTTCGATACCCGCCTCTCTGCACCGAAATGTAAGTTCTTGCATAGAACTTAGCTTATGACCACCTACTGTAGCTCCCGTTAGCATTAGTTTGTCTTCACTGTGTCCGAAATGTGTGCTTTTATGGCTATATCAGCCTAAAGGCTAATTTTGACGCTTGGATCCTCATATCCGAGGACTGGCCAGCGAGCATGCAGAAACATCGTGCCGGGGAGGATTGCTTTCAAAGATGAGTCGACAACTCAACCGTCACAAGCAACAGAGTTTTAAACATACTTGCAATATGTAGGAACATGTTTTGTTCCACATTTAAGAGGGCCATTATGGAAAATACAGAGCTTAACATCATCGTTCATCCAAAAATTGGGGTCTTGAGCTTTTGGCAGCATACGATAGTAGGACCTCCTATCAACCAATGTCACGGCGCTTCGGAAGCGAAAAAAATGTTCCAGAATAACGGAAAAGCACAACCCCTAGGCAACACCGCCCGCTCCATAATGCTCGCCCCAACCCGTGTACACCCATCCAATCACCGTTTGGATACCCCCCCCCGCAAAATCTTCCAAACATCGTGGGGGTTTGCGGTTTCTCGATTTCATCTAAATCACGGACATGGGAAGGCCGGGAAAGACAGAAACATGGAAGTCGAGAACCTAGGTAGACGGTATTTTGGGTACTCCTGATGCCCACTCATATGCTAATGACGTATATTCCTTCTAGCCGATGACTGGCTGGCTTCTAACTTACAAAGATTTCTTTATGAGTCACTTCAGAAAGGCTTACTATTCAAATCCAGAGCGCCACAGTTAAATGCTTTCAAGACAGTGAATAATCCGCTCTTATTCGTGTTCTCAGTATTCTTCGCAAAGTTCATATTTTTAGCTTATGAACATGTGCATGTAGGCGTTTTGCTAAGTCCTACTACTTGAAGATTTCATAGAGATATCGCGTCTCTCATCATTTGAATAATTAAGAAAATTACTTACTGAGCTTTTGTTCCGCACACGTAAATAAAGCTGGAGCATTTTCAATAGAGAATCTGAATGCTCAAATCAACATTACGACGTTTATATTGATGCAGGGTGTCCCAAAAAATGCGAACACTGTTTGATCGTTGATAACTCCGTTGCTTTCATGTCTTTCGCCGAGCTTGAGGCACCATTCTGTAGAGCGAGGTTCAACTTAGATTTGTAGTATGGAGCGAATCACCGGTCGGTGTTCGTTACTGTGGTATTACGGTATGAACTTCCAGCATGTGGGTCTATTGTGAAACGTGCCATTTGACAAAATTTTTTTTAAAAAAATCTGAAAAATCGTGTACTAGGGTTTTCGCGCACGTTGGTTCCATTACACAACTTTTTAGGTGTTTTTAGCTTTTTTGACGGTGTAATCACCTTTCTGACATTTGGTGGAAATTAAGTTATTACGATTTACCTGGGACAACCTTAGAAAGAAGCATCACAGTAAAGTGAAAATTTCATAATCGGAATTAACGGCTTCCATTACCATAGTGTAAGAGTTTCTGGCCTGTTTGGCTTTGTTCCGAGGAGAATATGGCATCCAATGGCCTAAAATCCTTGTCGAAGTTCCTACCGTTATTCTACAGTAATGAAGAGCGATCGACGATTCGCTCCATACTGTAGATCTAAGTTGAACCTCGCTCTGTAGAATGGTGCCTCAAGCTCGGCAGAAGACATGAAAGCAAGAGAGTTATTAACAATCAAACAGTATTCACATTTTTTGGGACACCCTGTATGAATTTGCGTCGAAGCAATTTTCGAAGGAAAGCCTTTCTAGGAGGATGTGTTTTACACTTTCTTATAGAAGACTTGCTCGTAGCAGAAAGAGCAGCCTCAGACAATTAAACAATTAATTTGGAACTACCAGTTCGGAACTTTCATTAACAACGCATAAGCATGAGTGAACACTTGACCATGTGCGTATCTCGTGTTAACGCCTTTCATTGCAAAAAATTAGTCTAACAAGGGAATAGTCAAAATTCGAATGCTGCTTCCATGGTATACAGCTTATCGGGATTGGCCACCTCGACTTCTGACCAATCCCTTTAGGGCTTTTCTAGTTCACCGTTTCTTTTTTGAGTGACAATCTTTTTAGCTTCCTCTCTAAAAACATAGCATTTGAATCCTGCCCGAGAAAGTAATCTAAAGACTTTGTTTTCAGAACTGCAGCGTACTATATATTGATATAAGCTTATTTGAATGCAATGTGATACCTTTAGTTTTGATGGTGCCCCGTCTTCTCTAACTCCTCCATTGTACTCCTCAGCACAACAACAACCTCGATTCTTATATGGGTGTCCCAAAAGTGCAGGGTTTATCAAACGCAGTGTTTCTTGCCAGCATCTCCACTCCCGCGCTGGACTCTCTCCTCTCCCGCGAACATGCTCTTTGATCACTTTCCCAGGGCGAGCGTGGGAAAGGCGGAGCCTCAATCGATTGGAAGTGATTAGAGAGCATGTTCGCGGAAGAGACTCAGAGTCCAGCGCGGGAATGGAAATGCTGATGCAAGCGACACTGCGTTTGATAAGCCCTGTATGTATAAACTGTGAAGCGCTTAACATTGGCAATTTGTAACATTCTATGGCAACATTGGCCGTCACATAATATCAGAAAATGGTGTGCATTCTCGATTGTTTGCGGGAGGAGGGTTGCATTTTGTTTTGGCTGTAACTTTATATTGTGTAGTGACAACAAAATGACACTGTATGAAATATGCTTGCGTACATATTAATGTCACAATTTTATCATGACTTTCGAAATTTGTGTGTATACAGAGCGACAAACAATAGCTATAGGATTAGAATAATGAGATATTTGCATGAAAATTGCATCCTGCCACTTAGCACTTGCTTTTTATAGCTAGCAGCCTCTCTGAAATGTTCACGCATAATTTTTAATGAAACCCAGAT